GCGAGTCTTTGGATGCCTTTGTTATGCCACCAACCTTCAACCACTGACAAAATTTTCTCCTCGTGCTCGCCGATGTATTTTTGTTGGTTATCCTTTCGGACAAAAAGGCTATCGTATCTATGATCTTACAACTCAAAAATTTTTCTCTAGTCGTGATGTAACATTCTATGAGAACATATTCCCTTTTTCTACTCCCAATGCTGAAACCCAAACAGTGAATCCTTCATTTTCTCACATACCTCCATGCCCACCTGACGTCGATCCGTCATTACCTTTAACTTTACCAGCTTCTGATTCTCCTGACCTGTCATTACCTTCTCCATCTCCTGATAAGCAATCCAACTCCACATAACCATCACCAAGTCTCCTTCTCCCTTCATCCCCATCACATCCCTCTCCAACTACCCCAATGCTTCGTCGAAGTGATCGCCTCAAACAACCTTCTGTACTGCTTCGTGACTTTCACTGTGGCCAAGCTAGTACATTATCTTCTGCAGCACCTTATGGCATGTCATCTTCTTCACGGCCAGGTACTCATTATCCCTTATCCAACTTTATTTCCTATGACTCATTGTCCTCCTCTCATAAAATTTTTGTCAATACTATTTCTAGTACTTTCGAACCTACCACATATGAACAGGCAGTCCAAGATCCAAAGTGGCGTGAGGCCATGAACCTCGAACTCACTGCTCTTGCCAATCAACATACTTGGACCTTGGTTTCCCCTCCACCTGGCCATCAGCCAATAGGTAGCAAGTGGGTTTTTCACATCAAATATAATTCCAATGGTACAGTGGAACGTTACAAAGCTCGTTTGGTGGCCAAAGGCTTTAGTCAAATAGAGGGCTTGGATTATCATGAGACTTTTGCCCCTGTAGCAAAACTAACTACTGTTCGTTGTCTTCTTGCTTTGGCTGCTGTTCGTAATTGGCCTCTCTTTCAGTTGGATGTTCATAATGCTTTTCTTCATGGTGATTTAGATGAGGAGGTATATATGGCCCCACCTCCCGGCCTCTGTCGACAGGGGGAGAACTTAGTATGTCGACTGCACAAGTCTTTTTACGAACTTAAACAAGCTCCCAGAAATTGGTTCTCAAAGTTTTCAGAAGCAATCAAGAAGGCTAGTTTTACTCAATCTCATTCTGATCACTCTTTATTTGTTAGAAAGATTAATGGCTCTCTAACTGTGGTTCTGATATACGTTGATGATATGATCATCACGGGAAATGATGAAAAAGCTATTCAAGATCTCAAAGTTTTCCTTCACCAACAATTCCACATTAAAGACCTTGGTTATTTAAGTATTTTCTCGGTTTGGAAGTGGCAAGATCCAAAGCTGGTATTGTTATATCACAACGAAAATATGCTCTGGAGATTCTAGATGATATTGGTTTTCTTGGAGTGCAACCTATTGATTTCCCTATGGAACAAAACCTGAAACTTACAAACAATCAAGGTGAACTCCTACTTAATCCATCTCGTTACAGAAGATTGGTAGGTAGGTTAATCTACCTTACAATCACCAGGCCAGATATTACATACTCTGTAAATATTCTAAGTCAGTTTATGAATGCTCCAAGAAAGCCACATTGGGATGCTGCTCTTCGTGTTGTGAGGTATCTAAAAGGAAGTCCATGTCTCGGGTTGTTATTTTCTTCTCACAATTCTCTAACATTGAAAGCTTATTGTGATGCTAATTGGGCAAACTGCCCCATGACGAGGAGATCAACTACAGGATATGGAGTGTTCCTTGGAAACTCCTTAATTTCTTGGAAGACAAAGAAGCAAAAGACGGTATCTACATCATCTTCAGAAGCAGAGTACAGGTCGATGGCTGCTGCAACTTGTGAACTCACTTGGCTAAGATTCCTATTCAATGACTTGCAAGTTTCATTTGGACCTGTCAACTTATTTTGTGACAATCAAGCTACCCTTCATATTGCTGCAAATCCAGTGTATCATGAACGCACTAAACATATTGAACTTGATTGTCATGTCGTGAGAGATACAAGCAGGGCAGATTATTACAAAATTTGTCCCATCATCTCACCAGTTGGCTTATGTTTTCACCAAAGCTTTAGGCGGAAATATTTTCAGAAACTTAATACGCAAGTTGCACATTCTTGACATCCATGCTCCACTTGAGGGGGAGTGTTAAGATTTGTTTGAATTAAATCAAATCTTTGAAGATTCTAAATTATTGTGGTATATTCTATTTTTACTATTATGTCATAGAATTAGGAGTAG